GCCCGACGGCCGAAGGCAGATCCGATCCGCGGGAGGGCTGGGACCGAGGGTGATGCGGAATACTCCGTGTTGTATCTTATTTATGTCATACCCACCCAAGAAAACATGCCTTTCAATGCGAAATGAGCGAAGATTTTGGTCCCTAAACCCAAAAAATGCGACAACATCAATTCCAACATCCGGATTCTGTATTCGAATTTCGAAATCGGTGCACGCGGTTAGGGCGAAACGCGTTCGAATCGTTCTATGGAACATTTGGAAGGCCCGGGCCGTACGCGTAAAGAACCCCCGGGCCGTACCGCTAGTTATCACACGGGCCGGAACACCCATATCGAACGTAATCGCGGCCCAGGTAGGACATAAGTGTCAATATCATACAGATTACCTTATACAGAATATTTCCAGGTCTCCTGCCATGAAATTACATTGGATGTCTCTAATCAACACTTTTAGTACACTTTTAGCACTATTTAGTATTTATAGAAATTTCAACATTTTTTCTGTGCATTACCACTTCCCCTTTAGCATAAATCATACTGGATATACAAAACTAGGATTATTATATAAAAATGACATTTAAATTTGCAGAGGTTTAATAATATAGAGAGAAAAGGAGACGTATATATGAGGTAGAAATAACATAGTTAACATAATGCAGACATGTTTGCAGTGTATAATATAACTAAAATATCACTGTGATAATGAGACCACCACAAATATTTCATGATCTACAGTATTCGAAAAGCAGAACAGTCATAAAAACTTCATACACAATAGCCTAATACCTTATTATGCTTGACATGTTCAGAATGTCGCTGACCTGTGGCACCTGTATAGGAGATTGAATCATGAGGCCGCAGGGCCACAGAAGAATGGTTCCACCCTTCAAATGTCACGGCCCAATTAAATCAGACTCGGGCCTGTCTATCAAGTGTCAGAGCTGAATACATTTTCATTCAGCCTTCCCAATATACAGTTACCACTGTCATATGCAAACTATCTTATCACTGACATCCCAGCAAGAAAGCATTAAGACTTAGGTTTATTGGTACTTAGGTAAGGTCAAATTTTATGAATGACATCCTCCCTAGACTCCAAATCTAATGCGATAGGGTGAAAAAAACAAGACAGGCCAAAAAAAACAAGGTTCCTACAATTTAAAATTTTGACATCACAAATCTTGTGAAACAAGAAATGATACCTATACCTAAGTATTACAACATCCATTGTCACTGAAAAATAAAAGTTGTCAATCATTGTACAAATGGTTTTGATTCAGTAGAAACATCACATATAAAAGGAATGAATACTGGACAGTACATACATCACTGCACCAAAGTAAAAGACAAAACAATAGATAGAAGCCTAAAAGTCTTGACTCTTCTCCATTATTCTATGGGACATTTGGAGACCTGTGTGATAACCAAATAGAACCCGGGCTGTAGTGCTAGTTATCACACGAGCTGGAACACCCGTATTGAACGTTGTCGTGGCCCAGGTATTACATAATTTATTACAAGTGAATTACAGTATTTCTTCTAACAGTAGAACGGCCCTGATTGATTCGGAAAACGAGATAGTAAGCAGGAGTTGGTGGTTAGGCCTAGGAAAAAAATGTTGTGTTTCCTGTTTCCCGACTGACCCTAGAAAAACCTGCCGACCCTAGACTTTTTTGGGGGGTGGACCCCTGCAAGAGGCATAATTAATTTTTTGAGCTGATCAACCTTTTCTAGCTCCATGATCTGACACATTATACATGTGATAAAACGTTGTACAATTGGTTTTCTAACATTGACATTGAAAATAAAAGTGTACTCAAGCAAGTTTTACTTTGTTAGTACAGTGTATTGTATAAGTTGGACCCCTACATACATGTACATGTAGATGTCACTGAAGTCTAGAAAAAAAAGAAGAAAAAAAGATCATCCCTACCCTACCTACCCTACCCTAATTTTTTCAGGACTAGAACAGGAAACACAACATTTTTCCTTAGGCCTTGGCATTATAAATGTGAGGGACTGTCCTGATTTGGGTCATCCATTCCCCCCATGTACCAGGCACAGACAAACTAGACAATCGGGACGCTACCTGCATTAGTGACTGATCCTGCTGTCTCCACCTGCTAATCCTGACAAAACACGGAAGCTCCGGATTCAACCAAGACCTACTTGTCAAACTTGACAAAGACAATGTACATGTCATCTCCCAACCCAAAGTTGAAACTCTACACAACTCAAATTAGACATTTGTGGTTTGGATTATACATAGTACTTTTGTTAAGGCCATGTTGGATAACATCGCGTACATGAATTTTTGTCCATTTCAAAAGAAAAGTTTACGACGATACTGTAAATTGCATACAAAGCAGGTAGGGATAGAGGGATAGGGATAGTGGTACAGTCTTGTTAACATATTCTATAAACATTTATAATTTGTCAACATTTGTCAAGGTGCACATCATCTGGCGAAGGTATGAGATCTCGGAACTCTTACTACTTAATGCTACAATGATGCTTACAAACACTCTAAACATTAGCAGAATGATATAGTGCAATAAATATTGTGATCATCACATTATTCAAAATCATGGAATGTTCCAGTATCTTACTAAAGGCATTGGGTGCAGTTTTTAGGGCTTGGAAACCATAATTTTCAAAGTCAATATTCTAGTTACTTATCTACATAATGAGTTCAAACCACACTATCCCAATGTATATTGACCCTCAAGGAGCAAAAATACTCAAAATTCTGAAGGACAATGATTACTGGAAGGACCCTTGGCCGATTTTCGCGTACCACCCAGAAAAAAAAGGACACATCTTGGGGCTTGTTTCTGTAGTTTTAGATACCCAAAGTATGAAATGTGCTAATGTGTCAAAATCATAAAGATTGCCTAATTCAGACTAGTTCCAGGTTTGCTGCTCTGAAATTGCATTGGATGCCTTTAAAATTATAATCATAGCATATATATACCAGGGCTTTAAGGTTATAGAGGTGACTCTAACTATACATGGGTTACAATCCAGTGGGTCATTCAGACCTTGTAGGCAGCGTGATGGATAGGTGAGATCAGATTGAGTAAACAGTACCAGGAGAGCACAGATTATGGGTGTGGGCACAATTACAGCCACGTCCACATGATGGAGGGGCACATTCTGCTAGATTACACCGGTCATCAGTCATGGCGGGTCATCACGCCTCTGTCAGAAAACTGGACCAACTACGGGACATGCCGGTGTGAGTTAAGACATGTTGATTTGATTATATGGATGACATCCACCTGTCCATGAATTTATTCATCTGCCCCCCCCCAAAAAAAAATTGGCCATACTGTAAATCTTACAATCCAGCTGGCATATGTGACGCAAATTGCAAAACAAATGTTGGAAACGATATTATTGTCATAGAATGTCAAAATCAATTGAAAAAGGAAAAGAAGAAGATGTGAAGAAATGAAAATGAAGACTGTATCATATATTTGCCGTACAGTACGCTGTGTGATGCTTGCATCAGTTTTGGGGTTTCCAGACTGAGAGGATGTCATCCATTTAATAAATCAACATGGCCTTACAGCAGTGTTCTAACCAGCACCTCTCCAATTATGATGGACAAAAATTTTGCCCAATCCGTCATCTTTTCTTTGAGGGACAAAAATTGGCGTGCAAAGATAATAGAAGGGGAATTTTTGTTAGAAAACTAAGCTTATTCTACCAGCAAAATTTTCCCCTCAAAATGCAGGAAATAGCATACGAGTGGGAGGAGGGTCAAGGATTCAAAGTTTTCACAAGGATCTTGTATTCATTATCTGAATGTAAATACAGTAGTGTCAACAACTTACAACTTACTTATTGTATGCCACTTCCCATTCATACATAAATCATACGTTCTTACTTATGGTTGTTGTCTCCCTCTGTTGGATAAGTCTTGGAAAGAAAGGTCAAAATCTTTCCCACACCTTTTCCTGTATAGGCCGTGTCCATCACCATTCATAGTGCCCTTTGACCACACAGTTGTACAAGCACTACAGCAGGGGGCTAGTCTATTCGTACAGCTGGCTGTGTTCTATTTTAATATACTTTTTATCATAACTTGTATGAGTAATGTAATTTTAGGCTGAGGAAAAAAACGTTGTGTTTCCTGTTTCAGTCGTGACAAAATTATAGGGTCGGTAGGTAGGGATTTTTTTCTGTTTTTCTTTCTTTTTTTATTAGACTTTGGCGATCTCTAGTGATCCAAGTTATACAATATGCAATTCAACAAAGTAAAACTTTCATGAGAATATGTATTTTCTATGTCAGTGTCAGAAAACCGATTGCACTACTATGACGTTTCATCACTCAATCACATCAATGTCAATGTTGGAAACTGACTGTACAATGTTTCATCACTCACTAGATCATGGAGTTAGAAAAGGTCAATCAGTTCAAAAAATGTATGTCCCTTGCAGGGGTCCACCAAAAAAAAAAGGCTGAGGTCGGCAGTTTTTCTAGGGTTGGCCGGGAAACACGAAACACACCTTTTTTTCCCTAGGCCTAAGCAGTGTGTACCATTTTTATAGTCCTTAACCAACTGGTGATTGAACCTGTGACATTCAAAATGTAAATGCAAGCAGTTAGAGTGTTTGCCGTGCTATTGCATCTTATAGTCCATGTTTAGTTTCATCAGGTTGGTAAGTCACTGAATAAAGAGGCTCTTTTTACACAACCAAGAGGTTTATTGAGCATGTTGGCAGAATGTACTGCGCCTGTGCGAAACCCTGATTTTTCACAATTTTCGTTGGATGTTTGGTCAATGTTGCATCTGAATTTTATCTGTTGCAGACAATATCTTTTCTGACACAACATTTGGAAACTTCAGATGTTATGTTAACCTTATATACCCGAATACAACCTTATATAAGATGTTCTGCTGAAGTGCTGTGCACTAAACATTACATGTTTTGCACAGGTGCAGTATGCGTTCTGATGACGTGCTGGTTTATTGCACCTTAGCTTTCTTACCTGGGATACCTGGACACAATAGCTGCTAGAAGCTGAGCTGATGTAGTCTGGCCTGGGACAGCCAAGGTGGCCTCCTTTGATCCAACCAGCTCTCGGCTCTTGGCAAAGAACAGAAGGTTGACCTGGATGAAAAGAAACAAGGAACTTGATTGGAGCAGACTGTAAATTGATTTATATGTTTGCAGAGATTTAATGTTGTGGTAGGAGGGACAGAAGGCATTTGCAGTGTTTTAAGTTCCTTGCATTGTATCGGGCCGTTAGCCGTTTTTCTTCAGCAGCCAGAGGCCCTTCGCCCACCTGTCTAAATTACCACCACGGGGGAGTTGCGCCCGAGGGGAGTTTGGCTAGTCTGGTGTCATGGCCCATACACGCCGTTCCATAGAGCTGTGTACCTAAACAAATTTTAGGTGCAGGCACAGGTACAGGTACACATAGTACAGGTTTAGGTACAGATCTGGACCTGAAACTGTACCTAAACAATTCAAGAAAGTAACATGTTCTTCTGAACTCCTTCCATAGTTACAAAAACATGAATAAACTTGACAGTCAAGTGTAAGTTTTGTTTTCATGTTTTAAGTTCACGGTAATGATTAAGTTTGCGGCACAGAAGTAACCGCAAAAATGACATAAATAAAAGACAACACGGTGTATTCCACATCGCCCTTGGTCCCGGCCCTCCGGCCTGGTCCCAGCAGTGTACAAAATACTTTTTTGAACCAGGTTTCCCAGTGGGTAACCTACCGCAAAAATTAGGTTGCCCATCAGAATTTTAAGTTACTACTTTATGTTACATACATAATCCTTTGACAATATTTCTAACAGCCTTTAGTTAACTGATGCTATAAATATGATACTGATGCCATTAATACCTAAAATTAAAAAGCGTCTGACGGATACAGTGGTGCAAGCAAAGTGGGCATGATTGGGGGGGGGGCATTCTTAAAATTCAGGTAGCACACTGGGCTAGTTCAAAAATAGGTTGTCCCAAGTAAAATTGGCAACCAAGTAATTTTTGCACGCTGTCCCGGCTTCAATTTTATTTCTGACTTGACAAAAAAAAATAAGATCACGTGTACTATCCTTACTGCGCTCTCATTGGTTAAATCCGAAATGACGTCATAATCAATCCCATAAAAGGAGGTAGTAGACGGAGCATACTGCCATTCTTCATTGGATCCCTCCGCAACGCTTTGGAGAGCGGGTTACGCTCCGCCTATGTGTCTCCAGCGCGGCCCGGCGAGAACAGGCCGCGGGTCGGCGGGGCAGCACGCGGCAGCCCCCGAAGTCGCCTCGCGTCTCCAGCCGGCTACCCAAGGACTCTAGTGGAGAAGGCTGGACATTGAAGGCGGCATTGTTCACATTACAGTCGAGTGGTCAAGGACTGTAAGGTTTTCCTTGTGGGGTTTTTTTGTGGGGGCAACAGTTTGGCGAGGCACGTGGTGTCGAGGATTTTAGAGCGTTGTATTTCTAATTTTATGTACTGTTCCTGTGCATTGTCTCTCGCTCCCTTTTGCTAAGGTTCTAGAATACCAACTGGAAACCGAGAGAGGCCAGCACCAGGGGAGATATTGATGTTTTTCTGTCTGTTTTTGCAACGTCAGACATTGTCTGCAAGATTGTTAGGGTGGGACTCCGCACCTGGCTGATATGGATCGTATGGGTGGTAGAGCGTTGCCACGAGGCGCCGTTTTTCGGTTTCTCTTCTGTGGCTGTCTTCCTCGCTTCTTTTGTTTTCAGTGTGCTAGCACGGTTTGACGCCAAGGGAAGGCCGATAGAGAGTGCAGGTCCACGAACAACATGGGCGTTTTTACTCCTTTGTCTGTATTTCCAGCGTCAGAGAGCGGATTTCATCGGTAGGAATTTCAGGGCGGGAATTTGCACGTTTGTGATTTGCATTTCTATGACCGACGCGTCCGGCATTCTTTCCGGTGCCCACTTATTCAATCCATTGGCGTTTTCTTTTGTTTTCCAATCAGTACGACTTTCTCGAGACCAGTTTGGTCGACCCACTCCCCAGGCGCTTACGTGAAGGACGTGTGAATGGCCTCGCCCATCGCAGCAACCAGTACCGCGGGCTCAGCCATGGCAGGCAGGCTGGATAACAGACGTGCAGGAGATAGACGACAAGACAGGAAGGTCTCCAATTCGCAGGCTGTAGTCTCCGTTTAGGGAAGGTTTGTGGGATTCAAGGCGGTGAGGTCTGTAGGTTTGTGGGTGCCATTGTACTGGCGCCCCTGCTTTGCATTTCTGTACCTTGCTTTGTGCACGGAGCATGCTACCTTTTTATGTTTGTTGGGTGGTGACACATGTAGGGGAGTAACACTTAATGTAATAGAGGGAGGAACAGCTCGGGTTGAGTCTCCGTGCATTGCGTCCCATGTTAGGAGTCGTTCTTTCCGCATGGAGGGGACTCGCCCGGGTTGGGGGAATGCGGTCCAATTTTGTGCGGCTGCATCGAATTTTGACGGCAGTTTATGTTTTTGTACAGGCCACTATACTCGATGCTTCTCCCGGCAGCTGCTCAAGGCTCATCAAGACAAGGACAACCAGCTTCCCACCTCCCCCAACCCGGGCAAGGAACGACACGCCGACTTCTCTTGTAGATAAGCGCGACCGAGAATGAGATGATTTATCGCTTTGTGTCATTTATTGGTAGGAGTTTTCGACTGTTTGTTCTTCTTTTCATAGTGAGGGAAGTTTTTCAGGCCGCGTTCCGGTTGTATTGACATGTAAATTGGACGACATAGTCGTAACAGTTTTTGTATGTCGGTGTCTGTCCAGGCACCTGGTTTTGATATTTGCATTTTTGTGGGCATTGTTCGACTCTATTAATCGTTGTTATTCAAATAGAGCGTATGCGTGCACGGGCATCCGGGGCTGCGCCTGGTGCTGTCTTTTGCCACAAGCTATGTGGAGACAGACGGGCGTAGCTACCGGGCGTGCATGGCAGCAAATATCCTGTGTGTACGGGCATCCGGGGCTGCGCCTCGTGCTGTCTTTTGCCACAAGTTATGTGGAGACAGACGGGGGTAGCTACCGGGCGTGCATGGCAGCAAATATCCTGTGTGTACGGGCATCTGGGGCTGCACCTCGTGCTGTCTTTTCCCACAAGTTATGTGGAGACAGACGGGCGTAGCTACCGGGCGTGCATGGCGGATGCAAGGCAAGAAACACTGCGCACCGGTAGGTGCAGACTCCCGATTGCCGCTACCGGGCGTGCATGGTAGGTTTAACGACACGGAAACGCTGCCCATGTACGGGCATCCGGGGCGCGCACTGGGTTGTCTTTGGCACAAGCAGGTGCAGACACCCGATTGCCGCTACTGGGCGTGCACGGCGGAGTGTTACTAGCGGGGTGAGCCAATATATGTTCAACTTGTTAATAAGAAAGGGGGGAAGAAGGAATTGGCTCACGAAGCGACGACCCCCGTGACTGGGAAGCAGTGCGCCTGCACGGGCTTTCGGGGCGGCATAGGGTGTCGTTTGGCACCAGTAGGTGCAGACACCCGATGGCCGCTACCGGGCATGCTTGTCGGAGTGTCACTGGTGTGGTGAACCGATACAAGTTGTTAATAAGGAAGGGGGAAAGAAGATATTGGTTGACAAGGCGACGGCTCGCGGGACTGGGAAACCCGGCGGATCAAGACAAGTACCGTCAACGTTCAACTGAAAGGCAGGAGATTGGAGGTCGTTGTGGGGCTCACAGGGCAGAAATCCCCAAAGGAAGGCTGACAAGCCTTGTATTGGGTGGTACAGAGCGAGAGGATCACCTTTGTGGGGTGAGCCGACTGGTGAGCCACGAAGTGGGCGCGTGTCCAGGGCAATCTTCACCCCTGTTTGGCAGAAGAAATGACTCTGTCGACATTATGCTAGGGCACCGAGGAATGAAGGGACGTTGCCCGACAAAAGTCAATGTTAGGTTAGGAGGGTCCTTCGACCAGCAAGTTGCCGACTACATGTACCTCAAGGGGTGAAAAGGGTAGTGCGGGTCCACTTGGACTGGAGAGCTAGTGACTAATTGCCAGTGCAGCTTGCACAAAGACAAGACACAGAGTCCACAATAGGAAGGACCCCTTCCCATCCAAGTCGGAGTACCATCGGCCTAGAATCGACACGGCTCTGTCGTATCTGTGGGCTTTCGAGAGGTTGGAATGGAAGCGGAGCTTTGCGTAAGGAACGCAGGAAAGGATAAGGAATGGAGGAGAAATGGATGAGGGAGGGTATGAGAAGTGGACGAGAAAGGGGAGTTTGGATGAGAGAGGATATGAGAAGTGGATGAGAAAGGGGAGTTTGGATGAGAGAGGGTATGAGAAGTGGATGAGAAAGGGAGTTTGGGATTTTAAGACAGGAAGAGGATTCGGTGTTGAGGACGCTGATGGAGATGCAGGGAAGACAGGGTAGGGTGGCGCGACGAAGGCACTGCCCCATAACTAATGAAGGATGATCCAATGATTGCGCAGTATGGATAGGCAACTATCCTTACTGCGCTCTCATTGGTTAAATCCGAAATGACGTTATAATCAATCCCATAAAAGGAGGTAGTAGACGGAGCACACTGCCATTCTTCATTGGATCCATCCGCACCGCCGGGGAGCGTGGTGTTGGCCGGTCCTTGGGTAGGGTGGTGTTGAGGGAATGGGTGTAGAGAAGCAAATTTGAAAGATGAATGATACTTAAATACCCACCCCCCCCACCCGGGTTTTGGAACAGAGTCTAATACTTCTTGACATCCAGAGGACTGGCCACGCCGCGCGACTTC